GCCCGGGGGCCACCCAGCATGTAAACAATACATGGAAGTTGGCGAGGAATGCTGAGGAGGCCGGGAGCCGCGACAGCAGCCCGAAGTGCCGGCGGGACGCCCGGAGCATCCCCCCGCTAAGCCCCGTCCTCCTCCCCCTCCGCCGAAGGGCCGAGTGCCCAGTTTCCTAGAGGGAGAGGGGAGCGGAATCGGATACAGTCACACGCCGAGGAGGAGGAGGAGGGAGAGGGAGGAGGGAGGGAGGGAGGAGGCTGAAGGCAGCCCGGGCAGGAGGAGGCGAGGATGGATTTCCAGCAGCTGGCGGACGTTGCGGATAAATGGTGCTCCAACACCCCCTTCGAGCTCATCGCCACCGAGGAGACCGAGAGGAGGATGGATTTCTATGCCGACCCGGGCGTGTCCTTTTACGTCCTCTGTCCTGACAACAGCTGCGGGGACAATTTCGTGAGTAAGGGAAGACGGGGAGGGGGGGCCGGCGCGTGGCGGCGGGGGGGGGGGGGGGGGGGGGGGGGGGGGGGGGGGGGGAGAGGCGGCTGCTGCTGCCGCTTTCTCTTTCTTTCTAGAAATCGCGATCGTCGTGCCGGGGCGGGAGGAGGGCTCTCTCCCCCGCCCCGCTTTCTCCCATCGACAGGGCCCACCCGCCCCTTTCCCCAGGGCTGTAGAGGCCGGCAGCCTCCCGCCCCCCGAGCCGTTTGGGATGGGCAGCTCTGCCTTTTCTGGCCTTGAGCACCGCCGGGGCCTGGGGTGAGAGGTGAACAGTAGCCATTTGCCAGGGAAGGGCGGGTTGCTCCCCCCCACCCCCACCGCCGCCAGCTTTTGTAAGGCTTATCCTGCTGGTTTGCTGTCTTCAGGTGCACTCCTTGTGTTCCTCAGGGCATCTTTTGAGGCAGGGTTCAGCCTGGAGTGGGGGCGGGGGGGCTGGGCTTGTGGAGTAATAACAAAAGCAGAGTGCCTCTGAGCATGTGCAGAGTACATTCCCCTCACCACTCACGGTTAAGAAGGGGGTTTCTGCAGCAGCATGCACCTCATATTCCAGGCATTGTGGAACATATTTTGGATAACTTCTGACCTGCAGCTTGGGAGCCACCGAACTGAATGCAGACCACCAGCGCTCCTGTTCCCAAGCTGCTGGTCTTCACTCTCACAAACCCGCCCCCCTCCACTGCTTCAGTCAAGGCAGGGGGGAATGCAGGAGGCTTTATGGAGCCCCTGGTGGGTTGCAGGGGGCCCCCCCAGCTGTACAGGCCTGTAGGTATGATGGACACCTCCGTCTTTCCAAACCCCACTGCTCCACAGAATGGATAAGAAAGCGCCAGGATTCTCTTTTCCTTGGGAAATGTTGAGCTGAAAGCCACCCTTCCCACGCTGGGCCTTGTTTTGTATGCTTCCCAGCGGGTGACCTGATGTACAGGCAGTCGTGATCTGTTGTCTTGCCTTGTATTTACCCAGGGTGAGAGGGGTGGTATGTTCAGATTGTTCACAGGCGCCCTGCGTCCATCCATGGCTCAGGAAGGCTCAGAGATCATGGAGGGAAAAGGAGCAAGGACAGGGTCACTTCCTTCAGCTGAGCAGTGAGAGCAGGAGGTAGACGTGTTTGGGGGTGTTTTATGAGGCAGTTGAATGTGAGGGAGAGCAGATACTTTGCTCGCTTTCTCTATTGCTGGGAGCCATCGTTCTTAGCATATCCCCAAACCTGCAAAATGGAGTCTGCTGTCTGTGGTCACTGGTAGGCTGGCCTGTAAAGAAATGTGTGTGTGTGGGGGGGGATGGACTGTATTCTTCATTGAGATTTGAGATCCAGGGGTCAGCTTTTCTAAATGCAGGTACGGGGGGGGGGGGCAGCCTTGATGCTCCTTCCTTGTCCGTTAGTTTAGCTAGTAGCTTGTGTATCCTACCGGGAATTGCATTCACATCACCCGCCCCTTTCCTGCATAGAAGGTGGGCTTCTTCTGGCTGTCCCAGCAAATGGAAAATACGTATGAATAAAATGGAGTCAGAATGATAATTTCCCCCACACCCAACCGCTTCCTTCCCTGTATCCAGTCAGCTCCTTCAGGACTTGGACTAAAGAGAATGCTTTATTTGAAAGCTGTTTCAGGAGGAGGCTGTCTTCTCTGCAGTTTGTTTACAGTATAGTCCAAGCCACTGCCTGTACCTGCTGGTCTGCTAAAGTAGCAAGATCCCCCCACCCCACCCCCCTTCGATCATAACAGAAATGTTGCTAACAGGTGAATATTCCCCTTTTCCCAGATTAGACAGCTTGGTGCTAATTAGAAACTGGAAAATAAGATAAAAATGAGCCTTTGCAAATCTGATTTGTCATACAGTTTGAAAGTTGGCCACCTGAGCAGTGTTCCCTCTAAGCTGAGTTAGTGTGAGCTCACAGTTTTTTAGCCTCTGGCTCGCACATTTTTGTCTTAGCTCAGGAAGGATGGCTCCAGAGCAAACTAATTTGTGCAGTAGCCAAATTGCTCACTCACAACTTTAATGCCAGTAGCTCACAAAGTAGAATTTTTGCTCGTAAGACTCCACAACTTACAGGGACCATTGCACCTGAGTATTCCTCTGGAAACAAGCATGGCAGAGGGGCTGTTGACTGCTGTTGGAAAAGGAAGGAGGTGTCCTCTGACCACTGTTTAGAAAACAACAACATTATATTGGGAATTGTGAGACCTGCATGTACAAAAGCCATGTGGAATGGGAAATACAAGGAGGAGTGGACATGGGTGAGATTCAGTGGGAAAAGATGGTTGGATCCAATCCTTTCACCTTGAATGTGCAACAAAAGAACACCCAGTTTTAAAACCGATGAAAAGAAGTAAATACCAGGTTCATGCTTTGCTTTAAAACAATGAATTGCTCTTGATTAGGGTTTTATCGGTTTCACTTTAAAAGCCTTGCACTTGTGCGTGTGACTCCAACCAGCCTTTTCCCTCAGGTTTGTCCAACTTCCCTGTTTACTGCAGCCCATGGCTCTTCTCTGCTCAGGTCTTGTACCCCCAGCATAACATTTGTGGCTGGTCAAAGGGGACCCTTCCTCCCTCTTTAAATCAGAGGAAAAACTGGATCAATCTACCCCAGTGCTTGGGTCTGAATCACTAAACCCACCATTGTGGAGGCTTCGCGGCATGGATTGGCCAGTCCTCACACAGGAAGAACACTGAATCTGAGAAGCAGAATCAGTGTGGAGTAGAGGGCAGAGTGCTGGACTTGGATTTAGGAGACTCAGTACAATCCTAAAGAGAGTTAACTCCCTTCTAAACCAACTGAAGCCAATGGACTCTGCTTAGGACTGCCCTGCCAAGTTAATGGTCAGTCACCCCCATTTGCAGAAGAGAGCTCACTGAAATGGCCATATCTCAGCCCAATAGTCTTCATCTCTACTTCAACTTTACTGTCACGAGATAAATCATACTTTAAACAAGGAAGGACATGTATGTGATACTGTGATATTCTGGCGGTTCTTATGGTAGTTCTGCCAAGAATGACCAAAGTTTCTACCGCATCTTGTCCTTCTTTTTAATATAATTAAATTGCCAATTATCCCAACCTACTCCATAAACCTTTTTATAATTCCCAAAGAGAGAAGTTATTCATATTAGATAATAGCTTTTTTTAAAGTCCTGGGACAGTATTTTCAATGACACCGGGCAGTTTGCCAGGGCTCTCACAGGGTAATAGTCAAGAGCAGGTAGAAATGTTACTGTGCTGATAATGCCATTGCAATGCGGTTGTATCAAATGGGTTATGTTTTGTAATGGACAGTTGAGAGTATAGATCTAGTTAATGGAGATCAAACCTCAGTTGATTTGTAAAGGAGGTGACTTGACGCATGCCTTAGGTTGCTGATTCTTGAAATCAAAGATTCTGGGACTTGGGAGGGTATGTGGACACAGCCTTTAGAGTCAGAAACAGGGCACAGATCATGTTTAGGAAAGGCCAGAGGACATAAAACTTTCTGGTTGTGGAGAACGAGCCCTGTGGCTGTTGACTGGCTGAGCAAGTCTGCACATCTAGGAGATCTATTGCAGAACTGGACTTTTGTTTTACCTGTGTGAATCCACATGCCAGTTAAAGTCCACACAAGAGACCTTGTGAGGAGTGCCATTTACCTGCCAGTCTGAGATGATGGCAGCGAGGTCTTTTCAGTGGCAGCTCCTGTTCTGTGGGATGAGGTGTCCAGGGAGGTGTAGGAGGCCTTGTCGCAGGTTTATAAGGCCGTGGTGCATCCTAGGGCTTTTTGACACTATTTGTATTGAACCATAGCTGAGCTTAGTGTTGTTACTTTATTGTGTCTTGCTTGATTATTTTGGGGGGTTTTCCTCTTGTTTCTTAAGTGGTATTATTAAATATTGTAAGCCCCCTTGAAGTTTTAGAAAATCCGGCTGGCCCATTGTTCTTCCTAGCGCCTTGGTTGGTCAGCCACCCAAAATTTAGCTCTATGCTCCTAGTTAATAATTTAAATTTACATACTACTTCCTGCAATGCTTCTCAGGAATCTGAATTTTGATACCCGTGTCTCAAAGCCTGTTTACACAACCACATTTCAAAACTGTTTCAGGCAAGCAGAATTGCTCTATTCCCCTCTCAGAGGCTTTTGCGTGTGTTGAGCTACTCCTGTGAAGTATTCCACATGTGCCCAGAATGCTATGAAGCCAGGAGTGCTCTTTGAATCATTCCATTCATGCAGCAGAGTTAGGCCTGCTTCACACTTGTGTGTTCACTTTATCCTTACTGGCTGTCTTCTCCCATTGTGACTCATGCCTGAGAGTGTTTCCCCCTAGACAGTTTCTTTGCTTTTGACATCATTTGCGTACCGATTCCTTACCCAAATTACTTTAATCTCAAAGTGTAGTGTTTCTATACCGTCCCCTTTTTTTTGTTTCCCCAAGGGCTGGTTTACCACAATTTTTTATACTTTTGTGAAGTTTCAGCACAATCATTCCTTAGTGCAAACTGACTGGAATGCTGTTATCTCACCTGTTACGGAGGAGAGGTCAGCTGCATTGTGGGTAACCTCTGTGTCTGCCTTTCACCATCTCCAGTCTCTGCCTTCCCCATTCCATTCTCTCAGATGAAACTGACCAGGGTAAAGAAGTGTTACACAGATGCAGCTGGTCAGTTTCACCTGTATGTTGCCCATTTATTTTTAAAGTAAAAGTATAAATTGTGAGCCAGCGTTGGTACACACATGTGCAGGGCAAACTGGCCTTTTAGCCTGCTGGGAAGGTTCCTGGTGTCCTGCTCCCCTGGTGGGCCATTGGCATCCGGGAGCAAGCTGAGAGAGGTGTGGTTGCCCCGTGCTATAGGCCCAGACCATGGCAATGTTGGCAATAGGTTTTGCTCCAGGGCTGTTTTCACATCCCATTCCTCCCATGTGGATGTGCCCTTTCTGAAGAAGCCCTCACAACAGCAGGAGCCCCTTCTGTTTTGGGATCTAAAAA